CTGAAGCCTAGTTAGCCTATAGGAAAATCCGGCCCTGGCTGGAGAGGTATTGGAACAAAATATTGAAACCGGGTGAGTGATTGGTGCTGGAAAGGTGTTGGAACAAAGTGTTGAAACCAGATGAGTGATTGACCAACTTTTTTTTGTGGGGCTGAGAAAAAAACTGATCTGAATCTTAAAAAGGGTCCAGAGCAGCGGCTAAGTGGCTTTCAGGGAATGGTATTAAAAAAAGGAGGCAGAGGAGGTTAAAGCACCAAAGCCTCAGGAGATTCTGTCTTCTGCAGTTTTGGAAGTGAAAAAAAAATTAACAACCAAAAGGAAGAGCCTAGGGGAAAGTCCCTTTCCCCTCCTCTTTATTCTGTTTTTTGTGGATTATTGTATTGCAGTTTGGAGAGAGCCATTTACCAGCAATCAGAAAATACTTCTCCGGCTAGTGGGAGTGCAGCTGTGACCTTGGCTACAGGAACTGTTATCTCTTTTTGTAAAATTTGGCAGCAACTGTTTATGGCTGTGGAAGAGAAAAAAATCTGGAATGCAGGCTGGACTGGATTAATGCTAAAACTGAGCAACTGAATTTAGAAGATCCTAAATGTGTAATTAAATGTAACATAACCCAAAAATTTAAAAATATGTAAAAATAGTTAAACTTGCAAAATGGAGATGTGGATGTATGAGGAATTATTTGGGATGCTGAAAAATGCGTGTGAAACATTAATTGGTTAAAAAAAGATAGAAAATCAAAGGGAAAATAAAGGGCAAGAAATAGGAGAAGAGGGAGTAAGAGGGGGCACAAATAAGGAGCAAGATATAGTGGAAGAAAGAAAATTGGAAAAAAATGCAGACAGATTATTTTACTGGGATTTATAGTTACAAAGCAGAAAAAAGGGGAGATCACCCCAAAAAGAAACCACAAGATAGTAAGAAGGGGAGGAGAACAAGGAAAACTCTGGGGAAAAATACCAGAATAATAAAAATGAATATACTGAAGAAAAGATACTACAATCATAAAAACAAGAAAAAGAAAAAAGAATAAGTTAGGAGAAAGGGGGAGAAGAAGAGAAATGATTAAAAGTGGAATTCGTGAGAGCCCAAGAGAAAATGGATAAAAGAGGAAGAAAGGGGAAAAGAGTTGTATTAGTAGATTAAAGGGAACAAGTAGTATGATTGGTATTGTTGTGCAACTAATTAAGAAATAAAGGAAGCATAATACATTATTAATTGTAGAGAAAAATTGAAAGAAATGCTCTCTATGTCAACACGTAACTAGAGGATATATATTGTTTAAAATAGATCAATAGAGAAATAGAAGTGATGAAATAGATCAATAGAGAAATATGAAGTGATAATTTGGTGCAATTTTTGAAGGAGCAATTGAAGATATTGTTTATATTCTAAGATAAAAAATGAGTATAAAAATGGAAAATAATGGAAGAAAATAATTTGGCTGAAAGTGAAAACCAAGTTATAATGTAAAATGGATTATGTAAATGAGATGATGTAAAAGGGAAGATCCGGTCAATGCTTTGTTTCCATAATATGTGTAAAGCTGTATTAAAAAATAAATAAATAAAAACCTTAATAAAAAAAAGAGAGAGCTGCTGGCTGATACTCAATGCATGTCAAAAAACTCGGAAGAGCACCTGGGAATGGTGAGTATGCCCACAGGGAGGGCTCTGCGTGCCACCTTTAGCAAGCGTTCCATAGGTTCGCCATCACCGATATAGTTCCTATTTCTTTTTGCAAAGCCATAACAGTCGCCTCAACCTGACCTTCATCCCCCTCACCTATGTAGTGAATCAGGTGAACTAGGGAAACCGGACATAAGTGAGATTTACCATATCCAGGCTGTAAAATCTAGGCAACTACTAGATGGCAAAAAGGCTTTTGCGGACATCACTACTGGCATCTAATGGCTCTCTGGATTTTTTTTACGGCCCACAAAAGGTATGCCTGAAAATGAGCAAAACACCCCTGCTACTATATTCAAGACAATCAACAAATGTGGTTTGGTGGAAATTAAATCGGTTCTAACAGCCATGTAATCTTAAATTTTCCAGCCCAGCTTTGCACCCATCATTCAGGTATTTAGCATAGTGATACATGTAGTGGTCCTTAACCTATGATCGGTTGTTTAGCAACCATTTGAAATTATGATGAAACACCACCACCCCTGAAAAGCTATTTACAAACTGGTTTCAACATGTTGATGTCTCACTTCTCCCCAGTCGTGTGACTGCATTTTGGACTCTTGGCAACTAGGACATTTTTCAGCTGTTGGCAGCACTCCCTGTCACATCTCATCAAGATTTACAAGAGTTTTTCTGGAAACCAGCATTTTAGATTTACCTGCTATAGTGAACAACAAGTTCACTTAACCACCACGAAAAAAGGTCATAAAATCAAATTTAGTCATGCCCCATCACAAGAAGACTGTAATTACCAGGCTCAGTTATGATTGTAGCTCAAGGACTACCTGTATAACTAAACTCAGCAACTTCCTACGACAAATTGTTTTTCCACCACTTATAGCCCTCTCACCTCATTCCCCAGCTGGAAACTTTCAACAAGATCCACGACCTGAGCACAAGTCTCTGGACAGCATCCTCGGACCCAGTCTTGTATTTCTGGGGGCAGGATGATGAGAAACTGCTCCAGTATTAGTAACTCCAAAATCTGTTCTTTGGTGTGCCTTTCTGGCTTCAACCAGCGCTGTCCAAGGGTCTGGAGAATTTGGCAGGTTTCTCGGGGGCCCGTGGCTTCCTGGTAACGGAACTGCCTGAAACACTGGCGTTGCATTTCAGTTGTGATGCCATATTGGTGCAGGATGCGCTCTTTGACCACGTCATAGTCATTGGCAAGGTTGGGTTCCAAGATGTTGCAGGCTAGAAGAGCTTTGCGGCTTAGATATGGCTTCAGTTTAGCAACCCACTCTGCCCTGGGCCAGCGGTTGTTGTAGGCCACAGACTCAAATCCCTCCAGGTAGTCTTCAATGTCATCCTCTAGGTGGAGTTGAAGCATCCATGTGTTTTGCAGTGGAAGGGACAAGGGTGATACAACCTCAGGAACAGCATCCACACCTGTCACAATCTCTTCAGGTGAACTTGCTGGCTCTGAGCTCTTCAAAGGACTATCCGTTTCATTAGATGGCAGCTTTTCGCGGTTCGTGGCATCTGGCCATGACTGGCTGCTCATTGATTGCAATACTTGAGTGACCACAAGCGATGACTCATTCCCAGCATCTTTCCAGCATTGAGATGTTTTGGGAGGACCTTCCTGTGATTGGTTGGTTCTCTGAGGGATCAGTTCTTCAGTATTCCCACGATGCACTAAACTTGGTCGCTCAGTTGCATTAGTAGAATGATCTTTAGAAGTTGGTTGCAATTGGCTCTTCCTATCAAAGCTCAATCCAGTCTCCATTGTAGTAGCTATTGTCTTTCCAAACCAGTGACTTGGATCTAAACAACTTTCCAAGAAGCTGTTGAGATGTGCTTAATAGTCAATGCAATCTTTTAAAGTCAGTAAATAATTTGCTATTACTTAAGTTGGTTGTGAAATACTTGTGACAATAGAAGGACCAAGAGATATAGCAGCCCTCTAGTCTGAAATTGCAGTGCTTCCGAGGAATCTTTCTAAGCAAAGAGAGTGAGGGGGGGGGGAGTCAAAGGATTATGGTTACATAATTAAGATTTTTCCTAATTTCAGAAAACAGGTTAGCATCAGAATCTCCAGTGGTGGTTAGCAAAAACAAATCAGAATCTACTGTCCATAGAGAATTTGGATAGACAGGGTATTGTGAATTGGCCAATTTTTATTTATTTAAATTATTTGACTTTTTATTTTATTAACCACTGATATGTTCTAACTCTTCTAAGGCTCTTCTAGCAATAGAAGGTTGTTTTTTTTTTAAAGTCAGGTTAAAAAGATGGTATATACATTTGAGGAGAATTACTTGCGAGTATTTTTTTTGTGAGATCATACTATATTGGAGAAAGACTATTTAAAATTGAATATCAAGCATGTGCTCTCTCAACTGAGATTTCAGGTGCAAAATTTCAGAGTGAGGAAGCTGTTTCAGGGGAAATCAAACTGGCACCAAGGCGCCCCTTTGTGATGGAAAATGAGTGCTAGAAATTTAGAAGAAATTTGTTTAGCTCACCTTTTGATATTAATTCATTTAATCCATGAAAGCCAGTTTGGTATAATGGTTAAGGCATCAGGCTAGAAACCGGGAAACATGAATTCTAGTTCTGCCTTAGGTACAATACCAGCTGGGTGAGTTTGGCCCAGTCACTTTCTCTCAGCCTTAGGAAGGAGGCAATGGCAAAATACTTCTGAGAATCTTTCCAAGAAAACTATAAAGATTTGTCTAGGAAATCTCTGAGTCTCAGACATGATTAAACAGAAGGGATGGGGGAATCTACTGGTATATGTGAATCAGAATACAGGCTTGTAGTCTTACTCATTCTCTAAATTTTGTGGCACAATCATCACATTTTTTGAAATTCATCCAAATACATAAATTAGGCACAAGGCAATGATGCTACAGAATTACAATAATCAGCAACCTTTCAACTTTCATGGTAAAGGGTTAAAGATGTTGGCATTTGCAACAATGCATACTGGTGCTGAAATAGATTACAAGTTTGGGGAAAAATGAGACACTAAGTGAAACTTATTTTAATCCTGCAAGTATATCTGTTCACTCCAGTTCCGCTCCGGTTTCAGTTTAATATTGACTGTTAGATGTCTCCTGATATGGAATGTCCTTTATTGATACAACCTGCAATGGATTCATCAAGGTTTCAAAAGTCTCTTTACGAACAGCATGAAATATCGAATGCTGAATCAGAACCTGCGTCTGTGAATATTTGGGGTTGACAATGATTTATGACGTTTTTGCCAGAAACTCAGTATTTACAATGTCACCAAAAAAGTCATAAAATCAGGAATTGATATGTGGGGACTCACTTTGCAACCATCACAATTTACGACTGTAATTACGGGGTTCAATTATGGCCATAAGGACTATCTCAATATTCGGGGCGTCACAGGTTTCCTGTCCCTGTTTCAAAGGAACTTTCCTCAACCTGAAGTCTTGAATAGAACTGAGATCCAGATTCTCCAGACTGCATGGCTGTTGCTGATTCTTGGGAGGAAATGCCCAGATTTACAATCAGGCAGGCAAAAGAAGGGATACAATAGCTACAATCCTGCTAAGAATTAAAACAGTCAAAATTCCAGGCATGCTGTCCTATATTGTTCCTTGTTATTCATGTACTGTATATCCTTTTCCTTACGAGTGTTTTCCTGCAAAAGTTGGGCCTTTTTTTTTTTTTTGTATTAACTGAGTTTATTGATCTATTGGTGGCAACAAACATTGACCAGTTACCTTGTCACCCAAGTCTAATGTTGCAGGTTCAAAGTGAGTGACTGGCTCAAAGTCACCCAACCGGTTTTTCATGCTTAAAGTGGAACTAGAACTCACCATTTCCCGGTTTTTAGCCTGGTTCCTTAACCACTAAACCAAACCAGCTTTCCTATTCATATACTGGGTATAAAATGCCTAAAAGGGGTTTGCAGTTCTTTCATTTTCCTTTCTTTTGTGGTAGCTGCTTCAGTTTCATCATGAGGCAGCATTGTCTTTTGTCAAACCTGCCCCTTCCTCCCCAAGAGAACTAAACAAGACGTTCCCATCATCTCCAGTCCAGAACCTCAAGGCCTGGTCAGGTGCCATCTTTCACAGCAACTTCAATCCCTTCTCAGAGGGAGAAGTATGAGTCAGGCTTAGAGGGACCTGTCCACATAAACATGACCTGTTTATGGTCATGTGCTTTTTTTTTTTTTTTTTAAATACACGTGTTCTGGATCAATATCCATCTTTTCACGGAGAGATGAGCTCAAAAGTCCAATTCACTGCTTAACTCCTCCCCACTTTTTTCAGCCCAAAGACACACACACCCTGCTTTTTGGGGTAAGCGGGCCAACACATCCTACATGTACTTTGTCCCAGAATCTATGTCAAATAATGAAGACGATGACATAATATATTCATGATGCACAATTCAAGCAACATACCTTCTCCCACTTCCTACTCCACTGAAGGAATTCCTTGACTCACCCAGATTTTTTTTTTGCCAGTGCCTCTCTTCCGGCTCCTTCTATGAAATCTTCTTCCTGCACCCCATCGATCCACAAATATTCTCTTTCACTTTCCCTGGCGACTCTTCATGCCTCTCAGGCCACACCTATATGCGGTGCGACATTCCTCTCGTCACCCCACTGAGCTATTTCTTCAACCTGCACTGGATTTCCTCTTGGCCACCTATGGTCCGGGTTTCTTCTGCTGCTGTCTTTTGGTATTTGCTCCTTTGATCTCGCTGTGTCTTTTCTCACAGTCCTATTTGCTCAGGCAGGCCGTTCTTGCTCTGCGACTGCCCAATCATAAACATCTGGAGGCTATTTTTAAACCTCTGAATTAAGCATGAGATAGGCAGGAAAGCCTGTCACTCTGAAGACGCAAGACTGACGCTTCGGGTTTTAACCCCCCACCCCCTTCTGCCTTCTCTCCCAGTTCTGACGCAGCTAGCCTCTCACTCTTCATTTCCTTGTGCAGTAGCAATGCAATCCACAAACCTTAATCCAATCCACACATCCTTTGCTGATAGCCAAAGTGGCATACAGCCTGCATGCTTATAAACTCTTCTGCCCACCCTGACTGTCAACTGAAAACCACTTTTTTAAAAAACAAAAAAAAATATTTAACCCTTATTCTAGCAACACTAAGATGCATTGCCATTTTTCAACTCCTCTTTGAGTTGACGGCAGCTTAACGGGAGAATCTGAGGCGACGTTTGCAGGCGTTTGTGCTGTGTTGTTCTTAAGTTCCTAAGGCTACTACCCCACTGCTTAGTGGCTTGGTTGCAAATATGCATTAAAAAAAATCTTCCTAGGTATGGAGTACTACAATAAGCAATATACATTTTAAAAGATCAGTTTTATCTATCCTAGTCATCAATTTGAAGCCTGAATTGTGAAAGCTAATTTCTGTGGTAAATGTACTGTCTGTCTGTAAGCAAAACCACTCCGCCCGTCTCAATACCTTTGAAAAGAATTGATTTGGGGATAGATGCAGAGACTACTGGGCTAAGTTTTCTTCCCATCCTGTGCAAAAGGTCTTTCTTAGCCCTGCGGATTGGAAAGCAAATTCGACGGAGCAAGACAGAAGATGCTTTTTCAATAGGCAATTGGACTTCCTGGTTTTTCTTTGAAGACATTTTGCTTCTGATGCAAGAAGCTTCTTCAGCTCTGACTAGATAGTGGGGCTGAATTCTTCAGTCAGAGCTAAAGAAACTTCTTGGATGAGAAAGGAAACATCTTCAAAGAAAAACCAGGAAATTCAGTTGCCTCTTGAAAAAACAACTTTGGGCTTTCCCATTGATGTTGCTTGTCAGGAACAAACTAGGAAGTTTGCAGATGATAATCATGTGACCCAGGATGCTGCAACCATCATATGCTGATTGCCAAGTGCCCAGATTTTAATCAAGAGACCATGGAGATGCTGTGACTATTGTAAGTGCAAAGACCAGTTCTTTGTCACTCTTTTCAGTGTTGTCATCACTGAATTGCCGTAAGTCGATGACTACCTGTATTATCTAAAGTTGTTTTTAAAAGCAATGTTTATACACAGATTTTCCATTTTTTCCATGTAGTAAATGAGCTGTAATCACATCAAACCACTCTTTTTTATATTGCTTCCAGCTTGCAAACCCCTATCTTCATTGTAGAGAGAAATGCAATATCCATGAGCTTTTATGTTTCTGTGACACCATCTTCTCTCTAGAAATTACTTTAAACTCTTCTATACCACAATAGATGAATGAATCATTTTATTTCCAAACAATTTGACCAGGTTGACACTAATCAGGATGGTGGCCATAAACATATGATTGAAATTTTACTCCTTTGATTGATAAAATTGATAAAAACAGAAGTTCAGTTGCAACCATCTTGATTATTTTAACCACACCCTGCAAACTTCCCAGCATTGTTCTAAATTTTGTTTTAATCATAGTTCATAAAGTAAGTGTCAGCCCAGATGGACCAGACCAGAAAATCAATTCCACAGGAAGATTAAAACTACTTTTATTGAGATTAGTTAGATTACAATAACAGAAAAGTCTGGTGGTGCTGTGACACCCCACCCCCACCTTATAGTTCAGCTAATTAGGGAGTTTTCTGCCTGAGTCACTTCTGAATGTCATCTGACTGATCCGCCCTTAAAAATGCTTCCACCCTTTTTTGCTCATGTAATAGTTCCTGCTTATCTCTATCACCTGCTTTGCTTTCTACAGTAAGTTTCTGTTAGTTTGCCTACCAACATCATATTATGAATGAGCTCAATATAAGATGGATTTCAATGAGGTATTTTTTCTATTCATATTTTTGACTTCTAAATAAATCAGCATAGCTATTTGCCACAGTTACTAACTGAAGCTATAATTACCAGTAGTTGCTTACCAGACAAAGTACTACAAACTGTAACTTCACAAATACATTCCATCTGAACCACATCAATACTTCAATTACTCCACAGTCTTGCCCAAACATTAAGAAACACTAGGATAGAATATAATGCATGCTTTTGTACATCTGCTAATCAGATAGATTAAGCTCTTCGCACCCATCTAATAATATTTTTTGGTCTTATAAAGCCCATTGCAGTGGTTAACTTATACTTCCTTTTTTACTCAGTTATGCAACTGCCAGGGTTCACATAAATGTGTCTGTGCATTGTGTACCATAGTTTTCCCAGGTCCTTAAATAGCCCATGTAAAAGGTTTTTCCATCATGGCAAAGAAGCCGCCTTTTGAAGTTTCATTTCTACAAGCAATGCTTGGAGCCGTGCATTCAGATTGGAAATTTCAGAAAGGCGATGTGCACATTATACTCCTGAAAGGCACCTGGCTGTCAAGTGGAATCCACTGTCCAGGGAGGAGAAAAAGTAGTTGCTGAAAATTATGAGGATTGGAATTTCTGGATTAAGACAGGTTCCATGTGTTAATTAGGTTTATCAACACAGGATGTCTGTGGCTACAATATATTGTCTTGTTCAATAGATATGTACAATGTATCTGATATTTCTTGACTTATTACTGTTCATTTAAAGATTGTTCAAAGTTATTGCAGCCTCAGAAAAAGTGATTTAGCAATAGCAATTACTTATATACCACTTCACATTGCTTTACAGCCCTCGCTAAGTAGTTTTCAGAGTCAGTGTAATGCCCCCAACAATTTGGGTCCTCATTTTACCGACCTCGGAAGGATAGAATAGAATAGAATATAATTTTATTATTTGTATGTCGCCCTTCTCCGTGAGGACTCAGGGCGGCGAACAATTCAAGGGGGAAAAAGGGGAACATAAAAAACGAAATACAAATAATAAAAGTAAGCAACAGTCGCACAACCATTCATGTCGAGAGGGGAGGGAACTCATCACCCCCAGGCCTGCCGGCAAAGCCAGGTTTTGACGGCTTTTTGGAAGGCCTGGAGAGAGGTGAGGGTCCCTGCGGGGAGTTCATTCCAGAGGGCCGGAGCTGCCACAGAGAAGGCCCTCCCCCAGGTAATAGCCAGATGGCATTGGCTGGTAGATGGCACCCGGAGGAGGCCAACCCTGTGAGATCTAATGGGTCTGTGGGAGGTAATTGGCAGCAGGTGGTCTCTCAAGTACCCAGATCCACTACCATGAAGGGCTTTATAAGTTATGACTAGCACCTTGAAGCATATCCGGAGACTGATCGGTAACCAGTGCAGCTCGCGGAGAATAGGTGTAACGTGGGTGTACCGAGGTGCACCCACAATCGCTCGCGTGGCTGCGTTCTGGACGAGTTGAAGTCTCCGAATACTCTTCAAGGGCTGCCCCATGTAGAGCGCATTGCAGTAGTCCAGTCTTGAGGTCACGAGGGTGTGAGTGACTGTTGCGAGCGCCTCCCGGTCCAGGTAGGGACACAACTGGTGCACCAGGGGAACCTGGGCAAATGCCCCCCTGGTCACAGCCGACAAATGGTGTTCTAAAGTCAGCTGTGGATCCAGGAGGACCCCCAAGTTGCGAGCCCTGTCTGAGGGGCGTAGATTTTCACCCCCCAGCCTGAGTGATGGAATATTGACCAAGTTTTTGGGAGGGAAACACAACAGCCACTCGGTCTTGTCTGGATTGAGTACAAGCTTGTTAACTCCCATCCAGACCCTAACAGCCTCCAGGCACTGGCACATCATGTCAACCACTTCACTGAGTTGACACGGGGCGGACAGATACAGCTGTGTATCGTCCGCATATTGATGGTGTTTTATCCCGTGCCGTCGAATGATCTCACCCAGGATGGAAGGCTGAATCAACCTTGAGCCTAGTAAGAACTGAACTGCCAAACTGCTGACTGCCAACAACCAGCAGAAGTAGCCTGCAATACTGTATTCTAACTACTGCACCACCACGGCTCTTTTATGGCCCATACTTGAAGTTACAACCATTTCATCATCCCCAGAATCAAGTGATCAGAATTTGGACACAGCTTAGACACAGCTCACAATTACCACATATACAGCATCTTGCAATGATGTGAACATAATGTGCAATCTTTCCAGCCAGCTTCCAACAAGAAAGGTCAAAATATAATGTGATCATTAAGTGAATCTGGGGAAGCCAGATTCACTTAGCAACCACATGATTTACTTAACAATCATATGATTTCCTTAACAACTGCAGTATAATGGTTGTAAAATTGGGTCCAGTCACATGATAACTCACTTAATGACTGCATCACTTAGCAATGATGTTCTGGTCCCAATTGTGGTGATACGTTGAGGACTACCTGTACTTAGATTTACTGCATTCCTCTCTGATATTGGAGCATGAACCTGAAAATCTGAGTAACAAGATTTATAGCAAGGTTTATTACCCTCAAATCCAACAAAATAGCTGGTAGCAAAGTTTAGAAAACAAAATTACTTTAGGAATAAGATGAATTCAGGGTGTGCAAATGTAATGCTATTTTTAATTGAGGTAGGGAGTTAAAATAGTTTCTAAAACGTGCGTGGCTACTTTGTGGCTGTGTATGTTTAGCTTATAACCGCTACAGTACTTTAGTACAATGTGGTCCTTTACAGTGCAATGTGCTGTGTGAATCAAAGCAACAGAAAGAACTCAATAAACCATGGTTCACCTAGCCATTGATTAACCTATTTCAATTCATGCAGCAAATCCAATAAGTAAAATTCAGTTATTCTTTTTTTTTTGTTGTTCACTGTAGTTTTTGCAAATTTATTTATTTCTGTGTATTGTACATGAAAGTTGATTCTCATGAAATCTCACTTTTTGGCACACTCTAAATGGCAACCTAACCCTAACCCTAACCCAGTGGTTCACAAACTTGGCAACTTTAAGACTTGTGGACTTCAACTCTGCTGGCTGGAGAATTCTGGGAGTTGAAGTCCACAAGTCTTAAAGTTGCCAAGTTTGGGAACCACTGCCCTAACCCTTGCTTTGCACATAGAAAAAAAAAAGCAAGTTGTAAGAAAAACATGAAACATACTCTTTCTGTGATTTCTACAATACTGTATTGTTTACTAGAATAGTCCTAGACTACAACTGTATTGCTTAATACTGTAGTTCTTACTAAATGATTCTCAGTAACTATGTTGCTTGGGACAAATGATAAGCTAGCTTTTTTGGTTAATCTAAAGAGCAAACACACTGGGCGGACTGCAGAAATGGTACTGTAAACTCAAAAAATATATAAGCTACTAACATTTCTGATCCGAAAGTTAAAAGATGAAGCATGAAAAAATTAAACACAGATAATGTATCAGTGGCTAGATCCACGTGCTACTTGAGAATTTATTGCAAGATGATTAATTTAATAAAAAAAAAGATTGCTAGTACAAATATCAGTCATATCCCAAATAAGTTTCTATCACCTGTCAAAGATAGCGGTAATTAAGGGCCTTCTCCATTCTTCTTTTCCAAAAAAAATGGGGAAATTATGTAACAGGTTTGTATGAAATGGATTGGTGGAAATTGAAGAATTCTGCTGTCAGGGTTTCAAAAAACACCCCCAATGAAATAAAACTCCACATTTTGGGATTCCTCAAAGTTCCACTTTATTAGAGATGTCATGTTGGCACATCTGGGAAAATCCGAACCTGAAAGCTTCCAGGTTTTCCCACTCAGTTGAAACTTTAAGATCCTTCCCCAACACCCACAACTCCATCACATGGTCCAAACTTTCACTATCACGAAGACAGATTCCTCCCATCCACATCCATCCAGGTGCAGAGACAAAAGCGAACTTGACTTTCTAAGAAGAATTTTATTATGGCTACATATCACCCAATTCCATATAATTCCCCCCCTCCCATTTTCCCACAGTAGAAAGTGTGGAAGGCCTGAAACGCAAAAGAAAAGATTGCTTGCAGGTCTGACAACTGCATCAAGTTTTGGCCACCATATTATTAAAAAAAAAGATGTTGAGACTGGAAAGGCTGCAAAAAAGAGCAACAAAGATGATTACCACCACCACCAATTGTAGGAATTGGGTATGCTTAGTATAGTGAAAAGAAGGACCAGGGGTGACATGATAGCAGTGTTCCAATAGTCAACATATTCTCCAAAGCAGAACAAAAGGCAATGGATGGAAACTAATCAAGGAGAAATGCAACCTAGAACTAAGGAGAACAATTAACCAGTGGAACAGTGGGCGCTCCATCACTGGAGGTTTTTAAGAGGAGATTGGACAACCATTTGTCTGAAACAGTATAGGGTTTTCTCCCTGAGCAGTACAGGGTTGGACTGAAAGACCTCCAAAGTCCCTTCCAACTCTGTGACTCTGAACAAAATCCTTTCAATCTTATTGAATCACTATATTTCAATTAAAGCAGACTTCAAATAGAGTGACAAGTGTATCTTGGAGGCCAGTAACCATAGCTTGCTGGCTGGAGAATTATGGGAGCTGAAATCAACATAACTTAAAAGCTGTCAAAAGTTGAGTAACATAATTTTAAGTAAAGGATAGTCTGTTATGTTTTCATTTGTGATTCTAAAAAGTGATGCTTAGCCTGTCATTAAATATTGTATTCTTGTACAGCCCTTGTGGCTTTTGAAGGTGTTTTTTGCACACCTTAAAAATGTGTCCAAAAGTTAATAGTGTGGCATTTCATGTCATTTTGAGGCAGAAAAGTATGAAATATACTGGGAAGCCAACTTAAAAAAGTATTAAATGGGGTGGGGGAGCAAAATATCTCTGGAGGAAGAAAATTTTTACATTTTGCACATCACCATCCAGCATTGTTCTGAGCAACCCCTATCTGAAAATTTGCTCATTAATGGTATACCATTAACTGCACAGATGTCACAGAGAACCTGGGCTCCACCAGTAATTTTTTTATTTCAATAATCACCAACCAGCATTCCCCATTGACAGATGCTACGGGAATCCTGTGAGTCCCTTGGATTGCAAGGTGATCAAACCAGTCAGTCCTGCTGACTGCTCTTTAGAAGGCCAGATCCGGAAGATGAAACTCAAATACTTTGGCCACTTAATGGGAAGGAAAGATGGAGGGCAAAAGAAGAAAAGGACAGCAGAGAATGAGTTGGCTGGATGGAGTCACTGAAGCAGTCCGTTAATCTCAAATAAGTGAAATTAAATGGACTCCAGAGGATGGTAGAGGACAGGAGGAACATTGACCATGGGGTCCCACACGACTTCGCAATTAACATCAACAATGGGAATTGTAAATCAAATGCTCCAATGATAACCTATGTTCAAGGTTGCCATTAGAGCAAAGGTCCCCAAACTTGGCAACTTTAAGACTTGTGGACTTCAACTCCCAGAATTCTGGCTGGAGAATTCTGGGAGTTGAAGTCCATAAGTCATAAAGTTGCCAAGTTTGAACACCTCTGCATTAGAGGAAACTGCCGTGGAGGACCAACCTTCTCTTTCCAAGGAAGATTTTTACTCATTGGAGCAACTAAGCAGACGCCAGTCATTATCTCTCCGTCCGTTTCCATCGCTCCCTAGTGGTGAAATACTTATGCGGTGGTGGACTCTGTACGCTCGCAGACGTTTCATATCCGCCAATGCGGCCCAAGTCCGGAAGTGACTTCACCCACGAAATAGTTCGTTTTCCTCTTCCCTCCCGTATCCTTTCCCCTTGTCTCTCGTATCCTTAAACTTCAGCACCAGGGGAAGCTTCTCTTTGCAAAGCGGCTCAGGGAATCTTTCCAAGCGAAGGGCTGGGGAGTGATTTTCCATTGAAAAAAATAGAGGCGTGAGAAAATCGGCATTGGAAAATTGACTTGCCGAGAAGAAAGAGTTAATTTCAGGCTCTTCCCCCCGACGGGGCGGAGATTTGAGTGGGAGGATTCTGCAGAATTCTGGGATTTTATTTCGCCGCTTTGCAAAGTTACTCGTGGGTAGGTAAAGGGGGGCAGCTGATGGAGAAGGCGGAGTAATGGGTTAATTGCAGCAAATGATGGATCCCCCCCCCCCTCCTGACCTTCTCTGCACACTTAAATCTTTCCGTGTTTGTTTAGGATCGCAGGTTTAAAACTCTCTTCCCCGACCAATCGGGCATTCTGAAACCAAGGTTAGGGCAGGCAGTTTATGCCGTCCCCATAAAAGAAGGGTAAATGCCGAACCGGGGAGCGTGGCTTGTTTTGTAGACGTTGTCCTGCACGTGTGAAATAAAGAGCAAAATAAGAATCAATAGCAAGAAGAGCATCCTTGGAAATATAACCGTTTAAAAAAAAAATAAGAATTTGGACCTTATTTTGCTGTTCTTTTGATAGCTATCCTATTCCTAACACTTTGGACATAAGAAATGGGTCATTTGATTGTTTTAGGCATTGCTGTTGGGCCTGGGGGACGGGGACTCCCCAGAATTTACATTTCTAATATGTTCAGATAAACTATACACGTGGGTTGTACCTTTTGGGAAGGGTAGTTCTGATTATCTCACTCTTAACTGAGCTTTTGTGTGTGTCTGTGGGTCTGTTTTTTGAAAACTTTGGTAAAGGGTTTAAAGGGCCAGCATTATCTACTAAGACACTGTTCCTATTATTCTCTTCCTTCCCAGTACCTATCTCTTTCCACTTATGACTATAACCATGTTGCTTGTATCTTTAAAATTTATATGGTTTTGTTTCC